CAGTTCAGTGGATTCAGAGGGACGTAAACACGGCGTGCACGTGTCGGGCTGTGGCTCGTGATCTCACCTTGATGTTTCCTCCTCCAGGTGAATGGCTCACATTGTCCATGGAGCCCACTTTGGACTGAGCCTTTTCCCTAAAGTTCACTTTGTGGGACTCGATCTTCACATCGCCGCCTCCTGCAACACACACAATGACACAGATGCAAGCTCGTGCAGTCAGACAGCCTGTAGTGCTGATGTGTTGATTCATTGTTGTTGTTTTATGACTGCAAGCTCAGAGCAGACAGTTTTTAGCTCACCAGGCTTGTGCTTAAGGTTGTCCTTGGAGCCCAGCTTTGACGTCACCTTACTGACGTCCACCTTCTTGTTGAGAATCTGCACCTGTTGAATGTCACAAATGTTTCTTCTTTAAATCACAGATTTGTGTAAAAATGCTCGACTGGGGTTGAATAAAAGGACCAATCAGAAAAAAGAAACCTAACGTCCTGATTACTTTGAGTTACCAGCATCAGGACAAACAGCACGCTGAACAAACCGTATCTTCTAGTTTCTTCGTCCATGTTGTAGAAAAATGTTTTTTTGTGAAATATGTTTGTGCTGAAGCCTCGACAGAGACTAAGGGGAGGAGCTTGGCACAGCATCGTTGCAGGAAACCAGAAACCCCAGATTTCTCTCAGTGATTTTGTCCTTACAGAACCGAGACAGCCAATCAGAGGGCAGAGGCTCCTGTTGGGTTGAGTAGGGTTTAGTAGGTTAGTGGGAGGGCGGGACAACACAACTTTAAGGAAGCGAGCGGGAGTGTGAAGCAGGTTCTGGGGAGGGGCTTGTACCTAAGCTTGGCCAGCATGCCAACAACTACAAAGCTCCATTTTCCAGCCAAGAGCAGCATTTACGTTACGAACATCGTCTTACATTTCTCTTCTTTTCATTGTGCTTCTCTTACAGCGTTTCATCTGTGGCCTTCCCTTCATTCGAGCCATTTTAATGAGCTCTAAATATCAGACTAACTGGCCGGGACATGTGGGCTCTGGTTGTGGGCCAGACAGTACTTACATTCCCTCCACCAGGAACATGCTTCATATTGTCCTTGGAGCCCAAGCGAGATGTGACGTGGCTGAAGTCCAGCTTTTTGGAGACTATCTGAACCTATATGGACACAGCATAGCAGCAAGAGGGGAGCAGAGAAGAGCGAGGGAAAAGGGGGGAGGAGATGATAGAGGAGAGGTGAGGTAGAACAGAAGCAGAAACGAGAAGAGAAAGTGCAGGGAGGAAGAAGTCACCATCACAGGTAGGGTTAGAAAGGAAAGGATAGAAGGCGGAGCGAGGCTCTCTGGCTACAAACACTACTTTAGCTAAACGTAGCCGGTCGTTCAGCATCGCTGCTGTTTAAATAGAGATGGAAACAGAGCACCTGGAGAAAAGGACAGCTGAAGGCCCCAAAGAGCACACCGAACCTGCTTTATGAAGCGCACACATGCAGCACAGCATACAGACACCGGGCCGGCTCGCGTGAACGTCTCGGACCCTCATTAAACTCTTTAAATGGAGACGCTGCCGTACACGTTGGTTAGCTGAACTAAACATACACCAAGAATTAAAAACACACATATTATTTACAATACGTCAGGTTAGACTGCTAGACCTAACACACACATTCTGCATCCAAATGAGTTCAGTACGGTGGCCCTGAGAGGTCAAACACACCTTAACAAAACAACAGTAGACAGAAAAATGCAAAAGCTCATGAAACACAGCAGACGTCGAATAAAACACGTGAAAAATAGAAGAAATGCAGAAATAGCTAAAAACTAAATCACGAAGGAAAACAGAAGCGTTTCTGGGGACACGAGAAGTGACAAGCTAACAGGCTAACAAGCTAACAGGCTAACAAGCTAACAGGCTAAAGGGCTAACAGGCTAACAAGCTAACAGGCTAACAGGCTAAAGGGCTAACAAGCTAACAGGCTAAAGGTCAACATGTATCTACAGTATCATATGAAACACATCGATAAAACACACCTGCACCTCCCTCACAGCACTGATGAGTCCTCTGCTTCTATTAAGCATGTTTGAATTTTACTTGTAATGAGTGCAGTTCGTTTTGTTTCGTGTCCCAGAAACACTCGTGTTTTGTTTTCTGATTCAATTTTAAGCTTTTGCTGCATTTTTTCCTACAATTGTTGTTTTTTATTCAACTTGTGTTTTTTGGTGTTTTTCTATTTGTTTTGTCACCCTGACCGACAATAAGACGGAGACAAAAGAAGAAGAGCAACAAGCTGCATTTGAAAGATCCATAGATGACGTCTGTAGCTGTCTGGGTCCAGAACATAGTTTGGTCTGTGAGCTCAGTAAGCACGTTCCAGATGAATTTATGCTGTAAACGTCTATTTTTAAAGTCCTACTAAACACAGGTGTTCATGTGTAAATTATGATCAGTGGGTGGACCCACACTGGCCATGCCCATCTTTTATATACAGTCTATGGTAATGATCACACGTACCAATCATGTGCAGGTGACTGTGTCCATGTGTGACTGATCTTTATCTGGACTTTTTATTTTTGTCCACAAACTAAAGATTTAGACTGGGAGAGCAGCGGCTTGCTTCAAACAGCTTCTCTGCATTGTGTTAACTCACAAGCTGCTTCAAACCCCAGGCCAAGGTTAATTAATGAGCAGAGGGTTCAAATTTAATTACAAATTAACCATAAATAATCCGATAACTAATTTCCCCACAGACACGTCTGATGTCCGTGTTGGGAGAAACTGAGAGAACAGGAGGCGTGTGCAATTTCAAGAGCCTCCAGTATACTGGCTAGCCTGCTCTTGTGCTCTCACCGGGTCGAGTTATTAAAAAAACAACAGAAAGGAGAAGCAGAGAAAGGCAAGCGGAAAATATATCAACAGAAAAGAGGGTCGTGGTGGGAGGATGGAGAGGGAACTCACTTTGCCCTGGCTGCTTTCTTTGGAGGTGAAACCCCTGCTCTGAGAGGAAGGAGGCACCTGGGGAGACAAGTCCACGCAGGGTCAACAACAACACCTCGTTAAAAAACACAGGAGGAGGGTTTGGAAGCACAGCAGTGAAGGTAAGGAGTGAGGGGACAGGGAGGTGAAACGAAGGAGGGGAGCGAGGAAGAATGGAGAGTACATGCACGAGCAGAACCCGATCAACCCGATCGACTCCACAGTGCTCTGCTGCCTCATTTACACCATCGGACTGTGAAACCAGGGCAACCACACAATCAATGAATGAAATGGTATTTTTAAAATGATCATTTAAGGTTATTTTTCTGTGTTACTGCAAATGAATCAGCTTTTGTTCATCAAGTAAATGTTAGACTTCCTGTAGCAATAAGCCCTCATATCTGATCTCATATCTTAGCAGTTATTTTGTTGACATTCACAGAAAACTACACGAGACCAGTGTCGTAAACCTTTTTCAACATCCATCCTCTTTCTAAAGAGCCTTGATGGAAGTTGTGTGTCTACAATGACAGTAGATGTACATGCAGAGGAAATCCCACGCAAAACGACAAACAGTGAAAAAGAGAAGAAGCAGAACTATGGAGACCATTTTGCTTCAGTTAGTGAGCTGATAGGCTTTTAGTGGGCTGGACAGGTAGGAACCCACAAGAGGTCAGCGTCAGATGTGAAATCAGAGTTGCACAGTCCACTTCCTGTTAGTCCGTGTGCAGTCGGTGTCAGAGAGCACACGCCACACTCATACAGCGGTGAAGACCTACCTTCCCTCCTCCGGGCTGGTGCTTCATGTTGTCCGTAGAGCCGATCTTGGAGCGGACGTTGCGGACATCGGGAGCTGTGGCGGGGCGAGCTGTGCTCCGGGAAGCGGCGGTCGCTGTGGTCGAAGAGGCGGCCCGTGGGGCGCGGGGCACCGGGGGCTTCTTCTCTGGCCCCGTGCCTGCGGCGGAGGATGGCGTTGCTGGTTTGGCTGCTGTGGTTCGTGTGCGGGAGGCAGTGGTGGTGGTGGAGGCAGTGCTGCGGGTGGTGGTGGTCTTAGGCTTGCTTGAGTCAGCTACAGGGAGAAAATAATGATACAGAGCTTTATAGATGTCTCTGCCAAACTAGAATTATGATAGCAGCTGTTTCAAACCAGACTAATAAAAAAAGCAAAATAAAATATGGTGGGCATGCATATCCAAGGCAGGGGCCCCCGGACGACACAGCCCCTGGGATCCCCGGGACACACAAACCACTCCACCACGTTAGGTAGCGATTCATGGACGCTACACCAGTCTGTGGTGGTGAAGAAAGAGCTGAGTGTGAAAGCAAAGCTCTCAATTTACCTGTGGATCTACGGCCCTCACCTACGGTCACCAGCTGTGGGTAGTGAAGGATGAGATCGTGGGTACTCTCCCTTACAGATGGGTGAGAGGGTGAGAAGTTCAACCATCTGGGAGGGCTCAACTGGAAAGGAGCGAGTTGAGGTGGTCGAGCATCTGATGAGGTGACCCTGAATTTCAGTAGTGTATAAATACTGCTAAAAGCCGACTTCCTGTCTCTATTGTAAGCTAGGATAATCACCTTTATATTTAATGCACAGCTCTTAATGTGAAGCTCTTGGTTATTTCCAATGATGTTAAACTCTCTGTTAAGCATCTTAAAGATGTGTTTTCAGGAAGACTAAGAGTTTCGACATTATTGCTCCGCGTCTTCTCAAAGCTGCTCGAGGGGTAATAACAAACACACAACGCTGCCTGTTATCAACCTTAACATAAAAACCTAAAATTAACATTACAGAAAAATATCCAGCGATGCAAAAACCCGTCTGCATCCTTTTCTCTGGCACAGAGTCACCACACGTATCTTTGAAGTGAGGGAAAGACACGCTTTTCAAACACCATTGATTTTCACTGCTGTAATCCTCTCTGAGTAAAGACACTTTAGCTCCAGCATCCTAAGCCAGCCTGCACGGATGCAGTGCAACATTTGCACCAATTCAAATCTGTCAGTTCACACACTTTGGGCTGGACTGTATGCCAACTCTTCTTTCAGAGCGCTGAGGCGTCCTGGACCACGTGTCCTGCTGTCAGTCCTCCCCGAGAGCCTGTCGGATATCTCCGGCTCCCGTTAAGACATATTTAACGGAGGAAATCCTCCCCCTCGCCTTCATGTTTCTAAAGAGTAATTTGACTTTCTGCATGAACCCTGGCAGATTAGACGAGCTGAGGCTGCATCAGCAAAGAGCTGCAAACTCCTGTCAACAGCAAGGGGACAGTAATCCACAGGCTGCTGTGGTGAAGCTTTTTAACTCTCCAGAGCCTTTCAGCAGTAAAGCCTCCCTCTGCATAAGCCTGCCCGGCATTGTCGCGGTCGGACACAATGAGCGCGTTCTGGTGTCACAGTCCTGCTGACAGCTCTCCTGGTGCCAAAACAGAAACTACTCTGTCAACAGGAGGAGACAGACTGAGGCGAAGTGAGGAGAGGATTACAGGGAAGAAGAAACAGGAGAGAAACATGCAAAGAGAAGGCACAGATGGGAGGGGGCACTGCGGAGTACCCTCATTATACCAACTGCAATACAACTGTCTGTATCTACACTGGACTGTGCGATACTTTAACTGTCACTAAAGTATTGTCCCATCTTGAGAACAGAACATGCACCACAGTGTCGACCCCCGAG